AGAACTATAGTTAGCAATATTTAGTCCATTAACATTTGGCAAAGTTTAAAGAAAATATTTCGTCATTTATCCTATCTTTATGAATCTAAAGTTTTATATGTAACTTATCTTTTGTTATAACTAAGGAAAACCTTAACTATCTGTCTTCAACTCCATCAAAGACTCTCAATATCAATGGAAAAGATAATCAATGACTGGATTATGAATCCCCAATTCTTTGACTCCTGCTAGCTTTCTGTAGCTGTGATCAACATACCTAAGAGGACCTCTCAAAGGGAAGAATACTTAGGTTGGCTCATGCATTCAGAGCTTTCTGTCTATGGTTATCTAGAAATGAGTGAAGGAAGAAACTTGCCTCCTGGAGGACAAAGAGCAAAGAGAGAAGGAGGGACTATGTGTAACCTTTAAAAGCACACCCTTTGGGACCTACTTCCTCCTATAGCTAGGTATCCTCTCCTAAAGTTCTCACCACCTCCCAAAATAGCATCATCAGCCAGGGACAAAGTGTTTCTCACATGAACCTGTGGGAGATACTTCATATTCTAACCACGACAGTTCCATGTCTGTGTGTGTGTGTGTGTGTGTGTGCGCGTGCGCGCGCATGCGTGTGTTCACTCTCACACTGTCAAAAATCAAATTCTTTGTAAAATGCTGGTTTGGTAACAGGTTTAGGGAAATGGCCATTCATAGTTGATGTCTGTAAAGGACAAAGAGTGATTTACAACTATCTTCCAAATTAAAAACACATGTGCCTATGGATACAAATTGTACTTGTGAATGTTTATCAGCAAACGTGTGGCTAGTAATGTGATATCATGGCAACGGTACCCTCCAGTGGAATTGTGAACTAAAACACCACAGGCATTCAACGAGAACCAAGCAGCAGATAAAACAGCCAAGCCCTCATTCTGCGAGCCCTGTACTCATGCGGAGGACAGTGAAGATAGTGAAAATCAGCCAGGTAGTGTGTCTACTATGTTGTTATCTGTGAGAAGGAAGAAGACATGCATGTTTTCAAAGATGTAGAACACTGCTAAAGGAAAAATTCAAGGAACTGGTAATAGTGGTTACACATGGGAGGGAAAATAGAATTACCAAGGGACGAAATAGGGAGGAAAAATACATTTCATGGTGTGCCTTTTCCTGCCTATGATTTGTGTATGACTTGTACATGTTCAAAGACAAACAAAAATTAAAATCAAAATCTGCTTGAAGTCAGAGATAGCCATTCACATATTCATTAAGTATACCCCCCCACACAAGTATTTAAATTAGTTGTGAAACAGCAATTCTTTGACCATTGAAGAAATATACCACTCAATTGAGCATAAAGATTCAAAGAGATCCAAAACAATACAGAGAAGCCCTGTCTTGTAAAGCCAGAAAAACAAAAACAAAAAAACAAACAAAAAGATTCAAAGAGAAGATTATCCTGCAGGTTAAATATCCTTCTTCTGAAGAGAAGAGGTGAGCCAGGCATGGTACAGATACCTGTCCTGAACCCAGTGCTTGGAAGTAGGAGGTAGGAGGGATTAGAAATTCAAGACCGGTCTGGGCTACACAAGACCCTGTCTGAGAAAGCCAAAACTCACTCACTCACTCACACTCACTCACTCACTCACTCACTCACTCACTCACTCACTCACTGACTTTCACTCTTACTCACTCACTAATCATCCAAACAAACAACCAACTAGTCAACTAAGGCTAGTTTTCAGGTAGTACCATTCATGGATGACCAAGGAACCATCTAAAACATTTCCCCCTGTTCGCACCAGTCCAAGAAGCTCTTATTTTATTTTATTTTTTATTATGAGAACACTTCATTAGCCTGTGTTCATCTGCTAATATCAGGATGGGTTCATTTGCAGGTTCTTTAGAAAAAATGCTGTTTCTAGAGAAACAAAGTTAGAATGCTGGAAGGATGATGAAAAGCTCTCATATAACCCTACAAAAAGTTGACATTTAGACTTTTGTCAAAAGACTTCCTGGGTAGTAAGACTGTGTAGGAGAAATTAAAGGAAGGATACAGTTTAAACAGGGTGTCAGATATAGATTTATGTGTGTGCATGTGTGTAAGGGGCAGAATATGAATATAGGCTTTCTCCAGCCTTAGTGTTCATCTGACTATTTTGTCCCGTTTAAAAAAATTACAAAGTCCTTTTTTAAGAGCTTGAAAAATAATTTGCTTGCTTCCATCTCTGGAAAGAGTAGCCAGATGCCGAATCAGTGCAGATCAAACGATAGGACTTGGCTGAAGTCTTTCTCTCCTGTCCGTTCCCCTGAGCTCTACGATGCAGAGCTGCCTCTCATCTCCTGGTTCTGCTTTGTAGTCATTGTGCTCATTCCACATTTCCCTCCCTTTTTCTATTCCTTTCTTCTTCCTTCTAGGTCTTTTCCATTGTAATTTCCCCCCTCTTTTTTATTTGAGATAGGGCTGCAGAGGATGACCCTGAACTTTGATGCTCCCCGGTGCTGGAATAACAGGTGTGTCCCCACCTAGCTTCATCCTTCTCTTCTTCCCCCTTCCTCTTCCTCCTTTTATTTTTTTCTTCTTTAGTAGCAGAAATGACTTCAGCTTCTCTTCTAACATTCTCTACACCATCATTCTCCTATCTTTACCTCCATGTACTCCATTCTCAACGAAGCTGGATAAAAATAGAAGGAAGAAGATGGCCAATTCTTATAAGTACACTGTGTTTGACCTACAAATGTCATACAAAATATTTATACATATATCTTATTCAAAACGTTACCTTCTGTATCTATTACCTGTGCATTATGTTGTATGTCTGGCAGAGTGCCACTAAACAGACGTTTTCATTTGTTTAAAAAACTGACAAATTAGTGGAGCAATAAGACATTTTTATTGATGCTCCTTCAACTAGTTCATTTTAAAAATTCATACCCCTATTCAATATCACTGCATAGCAAATAGATTCAGAGTTTCCCCCAAATAGTAATTAAGTTGTTTATGATCAAAGCAAATGAACAAAGTATCCAGGTATTGGTCAATTATGTGAATAAAGCTTCCCATCCGTCTTCCTCTGGTTAGATAATCTGAGTTCAGATGAAAAGGCCCTTTGTGTCTGTCTTGTGCTGAGCATGATAAGAAAACCATTGAGTGGGAACTAGGTCAGCCGCCTTCCGCTGCTTATCAGTCATCAAAGCCTATTTCTTAGCCTTGGAAGCTTCATGTCTATTAAACGGATTCCTCATTCTCTTCTCTCCAAGACAGAAGGCTGTGAACTAGCCATGCACATTCAATAACGTTTTATAGTGCAGTGTGCAAGGGTAGGTTTATGCTTTTTTTCAAATTATGGTTATTTTTGATCTGAATATCTAATCATTTGCTGAACAAATAAATTCACATATAAATTTTCCAAACATATATTCAGGCTGAGTCCAAGATTCCAGAGTCAAAGGTAGGAAAAATTTCCAGGAGATAATAAAACAAAACAAAAGAGCTGTATGAATGGCACACGCCTGCAGTCCCAGTACATGTGAGGCTGACACAAGAGAATCAGGAGTTCAACACCGACCTTGGCTACATGATATGCTGTCTCAAAAACAAAACTAAACACAGAAAAATAACAATAACAAAGACAAAAACAGACTTAAAAAAGAGAAACTATCGAAAAATAATAGTTTCAGCTCTGGTTTCAGTGTGAAATATTTCTCACTGGTTCAAGTATTTGAACACACTTGGTCTTTGGCTGGTTGTATGCTGTTTGAGAAGGTTGCAGAACCTTTAGGACAGCAGTTCTCAACCTGTGGGTCTTGACCCTTTTGGAAGGTCAAATGACCCTTTCACAGGGGTCATCAGAGACCATCAGAAAATACAGATATTCACATTATGATTCATAACACTCACAAAATTACAGATATGAAGTAACAAGGAAAATTTTATGGTTGGGGTCAGCATTCAGAAGGTGGAGAACCACTGCTTTAGGAGGTGGAACTTTACTGGGGGGAGTGGGCAACTGTGGTATACCTGGAGGTCTTACAGCTCAGTGTTACCCCATGCCCCAACTTTGCTCCTTGACTAGGGGGATACAGTGTCATCCACATCATGCCGCCATGGAGCAGCCATTACCATATCTTCTCCACCATGGTGAACTGCATACCCCTCAAACTACAGGTGAAAACAAACCATTCTTCCCTTTAATTGATGCTCTTCATGTATTTGATCACAACAATGAGATTAGTAACCCATACTATTGCTGCTTGTTTTTGGTCAGAGTGAAATCAGGATCCAATGGTGAGGGACCATATCCTGTTGCCATGGAAATGATTGTGCTGTCACAAATACACTGCTGTGGTTTCACAGCAAAAAGAAACAGATGGTCTGGAAAAGAATGAAGGACTGGAAGAAGGTAGAAGCGTGGATGATAAGCAAAGACAACTTCACTGTAGCTTTACAAAAGCCACGTAGCGAGAAAGAGCTTCGCCAGATAAAACTACAAAGCATTTTCCAGTGAGAGGGAAACCTCGGATACCTTAACTTAGAATGGAGTGCAGGTGAGAGAGCAAACAGCTGGTGATGAGTCCACCATATTCCATGGCTGACTCTCACCTCTGCATGGACCATCACTGTACTGACCACTATTGAAGTCAAGGCATGGCTAAGGCTGAAGAACTGGGAAGGTCCATGGCTACCATACATTCCAAGCAGCCTCATTATTAGATGTTTGTTTTCTGATGATTAACAGTCCCAACACACAGACTCAGGCAGTTGTGTTGGTGAATTTCGAGCCTATACAGTAAAGTCAGGTGCACCATCTTGACCCTCACCCAAACCTTCATCTACTTTGGTACTTTGGAAACTAGTGTCCACTGACAAGACAATGAAAGGGAGATATTCTGCGATTGACAATGTACTGATTTTTAAAACTGTCAACCCAGAGTCTTTCTGTCATAATAAATAAATAAATCCCTAAAGCTTATTACTGTGGTATGGATGTGTGCCTCCAAAATTGCTGTGCTGACATCTTTTAAAAATATATTCACGGGGCAGCAAGATGGCTTCCGCCAGCAGGGTCGTGCAGGTAGTGAAGCCACATGCTCCATTAATAAGGTTCCCTGACAGAAGAGACACTCCTAAACTCAGTGCCTCAGAAGCTTTGAGATCTGCTGGGCTACCGTCTCACTCATCTGTAATTTCACAGCATTCTAAAGGAAGTATATCCCCAGACTTGCTGGCGCATCCCGGGCCTCCAGACACTGCAGAAATACTAAAGACATTACCTCAGAAATACAGAAGGAAACCTATGTCTCAAGAAGAAATGGAATTTATCCAGCGTGGAGGTCCAGAATGATCACTGTGGCTGCTGTTTGTCATCAGACAAAAGAATTATCTTTACAATAAAGGACTTCCAAAGTGTCAAGTGAAAATTGTATATTAAACAACCTTAATAAATATTCTGCAAAAAGAATGAAGTATAAAAAAAAATTAAAATAAAAATATATTCACTTTACATGTACCTGAGTGTGTGTATATGCATATGTGAGTGTGCAGGAGTGCTTGGAGGTTAGAAAGGTGTTGGATCTCCTGGAGTTGCAGTTACAGATAGTTGTGAGACACGTGTGGGTGCTGGGAATTCAGCCCAGGTCCTCTGCAGGAGCAGTAAGCTTTTTCACTGTTGAGCTATTTCTCCAACCCTCCTATGTTGAACTCTTAATCCCTAAAGTAGTGGCCTCTTCCTCTTCCTGCCCCTGCTCCTCTCATCCTCACCCTCCTTTCTTCTTCTTCCCTCCCTACACTCTCCCTGCTTCCCTCTGTTCAAAGCAAGCCCACACAAGTGCACGCATGTGCGTACCAAATCTCTACTTATGCCAGAAAAACTTTTGTCTTGCCCAAGCTTGCCTTCTTTATTATGGAGCTTTCAGGTGAAGGTCTGACATGTGTATACACACACACACACACACACACACACACACACGCACACGCGCACACACACACGCACACGCGCACGCGCACACGCACACGCGCACGCGCACACGCACACGCACCTCCTCTTCAGCTTCATTTCCTAGATGATGAATTACAGTTGCCCTGGGCCATTCTCATGAGAAGAAAAGTGCTTTGTTTCTCCCTCATGTCCTGGAAGTGCCAAAGAGCAAGGTAGTTAAGAGTCCAAGGAGCAGTGTGTCAGGGTTGCAGCCAAGGCAAGCTACTTGCTACAGTGCTGTGAAATTGCTGCCTTTTGGGTAGCATATTTAATTTGAGTTCACATTATGGCTCCTGCACTTTTTCCAGAGAGGCTGACAAAGCAAAAGGCCCATCATTTCTAATTATGCTGTTTGATTACTTCAAAGTGCCCTTTTGGTACATTTATATAGGGAAATGAACACTCTGCTATGTATTAATGATGGCTCCGTATGTGATGAATCTGCTCAGATCATTCTGGAAGCCACTTTAGTGGCCTAAAGGAAGATTTAAAGCATCGTCAGCACAAATGGTCTGTCCTTTCCTCTGTTAGGAAATCTTTCTTCTGTCTACCTTCTATAGTCCCACAGCTGAGTGGGCAGCAGGGGCCTGAGCAGTGGTGGGTGAGGGGACAGGCCATCGGGGAGTGAGGCACTGACGACTCCACAGCCAGGGCCCCCTTGTGTCACTGGAGTTCTATCTGGTGGGTCTTTAACTGAAGTCAATGAGGTGTCAATCAGACTGACAGAAGTATTTTTGTCCCCCCTTTAGACTAGTTGTCATGCTCTCAAAGGTAACAAACAGTTGGAGACCTTGACTGGATTCCTACTCCTGGGGCCCAGTGAGAGCCTTGGAGTCTGAGGCAAGTCTCCCTTCCCAATGGCAGTCTGGCATGAACAAGCCCTGGGCTTCCTGGCTCTTCTGTGCAGGGTGGTTGGATGATCTTAGGCAAGTTATTTGACCTCTTGGAGCCTTTCCTCAGTTGGTGAATGTGATGATAATCTGTCCAAAGCTCTCCTGGATACACACAGGGAGAAAAGAGAAAAATAAAAAAAGCATCTACCTTCTCATTCTCCCTGCAGTTTCATTGTCTGTCTCTGAACCCTTATTTCCTTGCAGTAGTCTGGAGAGAGACATGAGCCCATCTAGAGAAATGGAGGAAGAAAAATGCATGGCCACCTCCCTATGTAGGCTGATTGATGTTTAGGAAAACAATGTAGTGATTTTGTTTATGATCTAGCAAAGCTTGCCTGAAGATCAGAGGGTAAAGCTAGCCACACTAGTTAGCTATAGAGTCCAGGGGTGTTTTCATTGTCCCTTAATTCTAAGGTCATTCCCAGATACATGGGAATGTAAGGTTGGGCCTGTTTGTCACAGGCTATCTTTCTTTTGCCTGACCAGATAGAGCCTCCCTGACAGAGGAAATAAGAAAGAGGACCAGCTCTTTTGGTTTTCCTAAATGACTGGTTATTCATCCTTCTCGTCTTCAAACTACATTTAAATGGCTATTTGTTTCTCACACTGAACTAGTGGGGGCTCTTGAGTGATTTTCCCCCCTCAGGAGACAAGAACAAATATCTACTTAGCCACGACACTGACAAAAATTAATTTTATCAAAGTCCAACTTGGTGAACTAATGAAGTTATTGGGATTGCTTACAGAGTGCAGGTGAAGTGTTACTTATAGGATCATGGATGACTCAGAAGCAGCTGCATTACCAAAGGTCAACCTCGACATGGTGACAACTCAAGAAAGCCGAGTCTCCTGAGTTCTTCCAAATGCCTCACAGGCAGTTCCATGGATGGGGAGTCTCCCCAGCCATCCTTACTGCTTATATAACCTTGAGGAAAGGATTTGTGAATCATTTAAGTTTTAGGAACTTTCTGAGACTTGTGTGAGTTGTTTATTTTCAGAATTTGGTTAAAGTTCTGTTTGCTTCCTGAGCCTCAGCAAGCCTCTCTCTAGTGTGTAAGCTTAAATTCAGAGAAAATTTCTACACAACAGGAACATACTGCTCTTTTTCCTACAAAAGGTTCTTCCTTGCATCATACTTAAGGTAGGAGTGACCAAGATGATAAGTGGGAGAACTACAAGGAAGCCACGTGGAAGGTATCCCATTTACTATGAGTGACAATCAAACCTGCAAAGGATGTTTGTCCTCTTTAGGTTAATGGGAGTTGGAACTGGTCCTAGTCTCACTTTACCCTAGTTTCCTCTTTAGTGAGTCAAGAAGTTTTCAGTCATATTGTCTAGCAGAAAGTTGCCAAAACAGGGCATCAAGTTAGTTACTCTCTTAGATAATTTTTTAAATCATCCAACACAAAAGTTGTCTTCGCTTTGCTTCTTAGCTCCATGACCAGCCACTAGGGCTCTTTCTCTCTGGGAGTAGTCACAGAAAACAAGCAAAGACCCAAGTTCCACAGCCCTACTGTAAACCACTGGCAACGGAACTTACTATCAATTTTTGAATGAGTGAGTTTGGGTGTAGTAGTGGACATCTTTAATCCCAGTACTCAAGCTGAGGCAGGAGAATTGAAAGTTTGAAGGAGCCCGAACTACATGGTGAGACTCTGTTTTAGACAAAACAAAATAGCAATAAAAAATGTGGGAAGACTGAGAATTTAGGCAGTTAAGTCAAGAGGCATGCTGGATACATTATCTGAGTACAAAGGTTGCTGGGTCCTGGTGCAAAGATCCATACTATTCTTGGGTCTGACACAGGTGAAACTTCAAATAAGCCTTCCTCTGTCCTCGTCTGCAGCATCAATATAGGACCTGATGATGCAGCTCATAGTCCCAGTCTCTGTAAAGATCAACTGACATAGGACATGTGCTTGAGCACTGTGAGCTCAGTCAGTAGTGATGAGCTACACTTTTTTAAATTGTGTATGTATAGTATGTATTTATATGTGGGCATGATTGGGCTGTGCTGCACGTGTGGAGGTCAGAGGACAACTTCCTCAAGTTGGTGCTCTCCTTCCATCTTTACATGGGTTCCAATCATTGAACTCTGGTCATTAGGCTTGGGTGACAAGCATTTTTACCCACTGAGCCATCTCACCTGCCCCCACATTGTTAATAATAGCAACTTATTGCTACTTCCAAATCAGCTCTGCTATTCTCATGTAGAACCCTTGGATTTTCTGATCATCTTCTCACTCTCTTGCCAGTCATTTCTATCACCCTACTTAATCCATCCTTTCAAACGCCTACATTCCCTGACCCTAAAGCATGCATATACATGCACAGACATTATAATTCTTTCACCCATTATCCTAATTCTTGTTGATTTATTTCTTATTCGTCATATATCCATATTTACAAAATAACATTTTCACATTTATTTTCCCTGCATAAAAAGTAGATGTAGTAGACAGAAATCAAGAGTGTGTGTCAGTTCAGGAAACAGGCCCAACTTGGCATTTTAATAAGAAAAGGATTAAAAACAATGAATTTGGTGCTAATAAGAGGGATAAAAACCTGAAATTATATTTAAAGGGTACATCATAATAGCTACAGAAGTCAGTTTTCAAAATTGTCTTTCAATGCTGATTATTCAGGTAACTACTGGCACGTAGATGCTGACCTCAGAAAAACAATAGAAAACTGCAATAGTAAAACAACGTCTACCTCAGATGCCCCCTAAATCACATCAAAAGCAACTTTCTGATATAATTTAGTTAGTGTTCTGAAATCTAGCAGCAAGGGAGCCTGGGAAACTAAGTTTCAAAGTTTCTAGTCGTTTAAAGTTCAAGAACACATATAGGAGGCTTTGAGAACAGAAGACAACCCATGTAATAAAAATACAATCTATATTCCTTACAGATCAGGGACAACAGAGCCATGATTCAACAGAGAACATGTCATCAGAAGAAAGAGGGTTCCAGGATTATATAGTTGTGACTATTAGATTATTCTGGCATCTTCTTAAATTTTAATACATCTAACCTAGAGTAGGAATTTTTAAAAAAATGTGCAAGGGGACTGTATCAAGCCATAATAAAAATTCCTCATTTATTTTTTGTTTAATTTTTTTATTTTAAAGACACTCTTATTTACATATCCATCCCCCATTATAATAGCCACAAATAACATAAAATACCTTGGAGTAAAGCTAACCAAACAAGTGAAAGACCTGTACAGTAAGAACTTTGAGTCTTTAAAGAAAGAAATTAAAGAAAACACCAGAAAATGGAAAGATCTCCCATGCTCTTGGATAGGTAGGATCAACATAGCAAAAATGGCAATCTTGCCTAAAGCAATCTACAGATTCAATGCAATCCCCATCAAAATACCAGCACAATTCTTCACAAACCTTGGAAAAACAATACTCAACTTTATATGGAAAAACAAAAAAAACCAGGATAGCCACAACAACCCTGTACAATAAAGGAACTTCTGGAGGTATCACAATCCCTTACTTCAAGCTCTGTTATAGAGCTATAGTTCTGAAAACAGTTTGGCATTGGCACAAAAATAGACAGGTAGACCAATGGAATCGAATCG